AATTGGTAAAGTAGTCTGTGGAAAGTCTTCGTAAAAATATCTGCAATCTGGAGACGAGTAGGGACGTAGGCGGTCAGAATTTGATTGCGCAGAAGACATTCACGGATGATACGACAATCAATGTCAATGTGTTTAGACCGCTCATGAAACACCGGATTAGAAGCAATGAAGAGTGCATATTTGTTGTCGTAGTATAATTTGGGAGTAGACACACACGGAATAGATAGAGCAGCGAGTAACACACGGATCCACCGTAGCTCTGCACAAGCATTAGCCATAGCACGATATTCTGCCTCTGCTGATGAGCGAGAAACTATAGTCTGTTTCTTTGAGCGCCAAGAAATCGGCGATCCACCTAGGAGAATAAAATAGCCAATAACAGATATCCGTGTAATGGGAAAACTTGCCCAATCAGAATCTGAATAGGTTGTAAGAGATAAGTTACTATCACGAAGAAGAAGAATGCCCTGACCCGGGTGGCCCTTAATATAACGGAGAACACGGTAGGCAGCATTAAGGTGATCCAGACGAGGGGCCTGCATAAACTGAGATAACACATGTACTGAAAAAAAGATATCCGGACGTGTTAGGGTGAGATACAACAAGCGCCCAATGATGCGATGATACTTAGCTGGATCACGAATCTCAGCACTAGTGGACAAAGCAAGGTTGTGGCCTAGTTGAAGTGGAGTCGCGACGGGCTTGCATCCACTAGGCCAACTTCTTCAATGATATCCAAAGCATTTCTTTGGTTCAGGATAATACAGTCCTTGGACCGAGCACATTCAATGCTCAAGAAATAAGAAACCAGACCAAGATCTTTGAGATTAAAACAATCATCAAGATACTGTGTGAAGGATCTGCACAAAGTAGCATTATTCCCTACAACCAGGATGTTGTCCACATATACCAAAACAACCAACATATCTCCCCCTTGGCGAAAAACAAAGTGTGGCCAGCATGTGCCTGACGAAAGCCATACCAACGAAGAGCTTGACTCAGTTTGGAGAACCAATTGCGTGGGGATTGGCGCAAGCCATAAAGGGACAGGCGCATGCGACATACCTTCCCATGGAACGCATGACCATAGCCGTGGGGAGTTTTATATATACTTCATCTTGCAGATCACCGTGCAAAAAAGCATTATTGATATCAAGCTGATGAACCACCCTGTAACGTCCCAAAACATACCCTAGATCATTAATAAATAAATAATAAATTAATCAAATTTGTTTTGATTAAAATAATTTATTGTTGGACTTTGGGCCGAAATAATATGTGTTTGATATCCAATATCTTAATCTAGATAAATCTCATAGAGATAAATCCAATATGTTGACTAATTGTGTAATCTTGGTTGGAAGTCTGAGTACAGACCCAAAATCAGTAATAAATGAATAATGTGTTTATGATGTAAACTTTAAAATGATTTATTGGAATAAATCATGAGAATAAATAATATGAATTTAGTATAAGCACCTTTTTAAGTAAAGGTCAAATAAATCAATTTTGACTTTGTCAAAGTCAAACACCAAAAATATGATGTCGGAAAAAAGGTATGACGAATAAATATAAAAAGTATATCGTTGGATAGAGTTTAATTATACGATCACAACGATGCAAACAGATTTCAATTCGGAGAATTTTGACCAAAAAGTGTACCCTGACTGGGACCGAATTAGTCCTAATCAGAGAAGTAACATGCAGAATCGCCTAAAAATCACATCTCCGCCGAATGAGAACGTGAATTGGGAATCCTACGCAGCAGCAGCTCATTTTCCCTGTTTTCTTCTCTTTTCCTCTTGCTATATAAGAAACTCCATTCTTCTCATTTCTTCACCAATCTCCTTAGAATTAGTACCATTGTGTTCATGGTGAAGTAGAGAGTTCAATTGTACTGTGAATTTGGTGTGAAGTTGCCAGAGCTAGCCACAAACCTTACCGGAAGTTTTGCTGGAATATCGTCAAAACCTCCATTAAGCTTCAAGGTAAGCCCGTAGATATATCTAGTGACTAGAATGTTCGTATAGATCGGTTCTACGTTCATAAACGATCGTTTGGTTGTGTTTTGTGTTTGACATGCTTGAAGAACCAAGAATCATACACAATGAATTTCATGTTTAAACTATGAATTAATGACACCAAAATGACCTATGAACTTTGGAGAACATTTCTATATAGGTTAATTGAAGTTCGGAAACTATAAATGGAATTTTCGAAATTGGAGTCGTGAGGTAGAAGACGATGAACAGTGGCTGAAAAGCCACTGTCTTGATCGATCATATGACATGGATCGATCCTCTGGGAGTAGTTTTCCATGGTATGGATCAATCCAGAGGGCTGGATCGATCCACCGAAACTCTGATCCGAAAATTTGTCCGAAAATGCTATTTTTGAGCTCTAAAATCCTATTTTTGATAACAATTGAATATGATCATTATAAAAATGATTTTTCACAATAAAAATGATGTTTTTAACAAATTAAAACATTATGTGATGCATGACGGTATGTTCGGGTGTTAACACTCGAAACTAGGCCGCTATTTGCTATCAAATGATATGTTGATTGATGATTATGGTGAATGATTATTATGATGATTATGACTTGATGAAACCACTGATTATTTAGGATTAAATTATGAGTTGAAATGTATATATTGATGATTATGAAATGATTTGCATTGTAAGGATATCTAAAAGAACTCTTAGATATACCTAGGTTGATGTTGGTTTCTAAGACTATCTATAAGACCTCTAAGATAGCTTAGAAATAGGCCTTGCGGGTATAATTATGAATATTCGGTTGCCTGGTTTAAAACGTACGTACGGGATCTACAAACCAAACTAGAGGAACTCGTTTGGGGATACCACCCAACCCGACAGTGAGCATTCCGCTGTTCGGTTTTTGGATGACCTTAAGCGAAGGTAAGTTTAAGATTTTAAAAACCTCTTTTTGAAAATTTGTATTTTAAAATAGGCCTAGCTTAAGGGTTAGTTAAGTGTACCTTAAAGTGGAATATAGTTTAACTATATTAAACTAGAATTCGTTTAAGAGTTGGTAAAGATCAAACAGATTGGCCTTAGACTAAGAATAATTTAAGGATATTGTTGAATGACAAATGATGAATATTGAATGATTAATGTTGAATAAAAATGTTGGTTATGAATGATGAATATACATGTTGAATGATTGAATAATGAATGTTGAAAATTGAATATTTATTATTGAATATCTGAACTGAACATTATGTGCATGATATCAAATGATTTGATTTTGGATTTGGATTCAATTTATATAGATGTTCGATGCATTAGATATGCTTACTCAGCTTTACCGCTGAGCGTGTAGTATGTTTTATTTGCTACACGCAGGTTAATAGAAAGAATGATGTGACGTAATCTTGGAGGCAGACGGAGGCGAGATAGTAAGAATGGATGTGATGTTTTGAATTAAAGAACATAAATAAATTATGTTTGTGATTATGATTTGTTAAGCTTCCGCACTATTGAAAACTCCATATTGTTTCTATTATGAAAAATATTATTGTGATAAATAAAAGTGTTTGAAATGTTTTAAATTTTACGATTACCAAGTTAATACTTTAGTCCGAAAGGGGCTGCAGACCTGGACGGATTAGGGTGTTACAATTTGGTATCGGAGCAAAGTGAGGCCAAAGACAGATATCTTCCTAATCTGTGTGGTATGGGACATACAGCTTGGTAAGATACATGTAGCCGGGGGAGGTAGATATCTTTCTAATCTGTGTGGTATGGGACACACAGCTTTGGGAAATACATACAGCCAACTCATGATCCTTGGGAACCCTCGCGCGTGAACGGTGGCGAAGCATGACTCCCCGCCTAAGGGCTCAAGCAATTGAGTGCTTTGATAGAACCAAATTGTAGCCACATAGATGTGTTACAATTTGGTATCGGAGCAAATGGTTTTAAACCCGATCTTCGGATCGAAAATTGATTTTTTTAAAAAACATGTCAATCACATCCACGACTCTCGCATCCATCTGCTCCAGGAAAGGTATGAGAATTTACTTTTTAAATATTGACTACATTAAATTCTCATTAGATACCAGTTGAGTAGTACTGAAATCATGTCGAGCGTAGACTCTAGCTGAATTTTCGTACTCAACATGAGACGAAAGAATAAATAAAAAAATTACGACCTTCTAATACGCTATCAACATGTGCATCGCATCGCAATCGACAAAACCGATCTGCCTTGTAAAGTCGCGTGAAAGTAAGACGAATCTGAAGAAACGAATAACGTTGATCTTCCGAATTACATCGGTGAACCCAGTGCTGAAGACCCTCATGTGGACTCAATACGATTTGATCGCTGACCCAAACACAAACGTTTAGATACAATAAACTCTGTTATCTAAAGTATCCGTTCTAATGTCTAACTCATTACGATGCAAATATGTGATTATATCTTAGGAATCGAAATCGTTCATTAAAGGACAATTCCTGAACAAAACCTCATTGAAATACCATACAAGGAAATTGACATTATCCTTAGTATGCATTGACCGATTAAACTTTGTTACTGTTGACAACTTGTGATGAAGAATTCCTCAACTGAAGACCGATGATGGTAACCTCATAGAGGTGAAAGCACATCTGATTTCTAAACTGACCGAGTTCATCTCGAATATATATGCAAAAACGCCTCAACCATAAGAAGCATGAAGTCTATTCTTGTGATATGCGAAATAAAGATCTGAGGAAAAGAAACGTACCGAAAGTATGTCAGCTCTTTGATATGAACTTCCTAATATCTCATCGTTCCGAGAAATTGAATTCTCTGTCAATCTTGATCCTAGAAAGGACCAACATTCGTAACTCTATATTAAACGTGTTTCCATCAATGACTTCCTTAATAAAGAATCATTTGATCAAGTGTTTTCTCTTTGAATACCTATTTTGTTCATACCCGAATACAGAAGGATCGATGAGACTCTGTATTAACTATCGTCAATTAAATAAATCCTTATCCTTTACTTTGTATCATGACTTATTTGATCAGCTTAGAGGATCCATTGTGTTCTCTAAGATTGACTTACGGTCAGAATACTAAGAATTCTCTGTTAGGAAACTTGAACAAACTGACGATCAAGAATCACTACTCCTTACTTTGAAATGAACTCATTTGTATGCGCTATTAACATGAAAGATCACGACGTGGTGATGATACAAAACAAGACAGTGAAACCAACAGTGCAAGACTGAAGAATGAAGAAAATGTAGCTCGCACTAGCCATACAGCCTAGGAGAATATTTATGGATAATATCATTGCAACACAAGATACAACTTGGATTACAAAAGGAAAGTTACAGATGCAATTCTAAGTTTAGTCTTCCATGATTCACAAACTCATCGTAACTAACCCCTGGACCCGAGAAAGCTTTAACAAACTCTAGTTTGTCTAAAAGCTCATCGACAAAGAAAGAAGAAATGAAAAGTTTCCTCTGACTCAAAGACATGAAGTTCTGCCTCACGGCATCATCTAGAAATTTGAGTAGGTTGTTGAAATAACTGTCAATGTTCAAGAGACCAATGGGTCTATTGTATAACCCTTCAGAAGCCCACGATATCAAGGTAAACAAACCTTCCATAGTGTCAACTCCTCCGGGAAGAACAATGAAAGCTTCCACGGCATGATTTATTTCAAAATATTTATAGAAATTACTGGGAACTGTATGCTCTACACCGTATGTAGGTCCATAGACACGTCGTGTTGCTATGTACCCAAGAATGAAACCTCTAACGAGACCACCATTGGTAAAGACTGTTGAAGCAACTGCTCCTTGAAGGCCAACACTACCTCCTCCGTAGGCAAGTTTAATCTTTCGCCTTATCAATTCCCTTCCTAAACCTACCGTAGTAGCCATAAACTTTGGATTTCTACCAAGAGAATGACTGCCAAGAAGACCAACGAATCTTATAGTGTAAGGAAGTGTTCGAGAAGTTCCTTCCATAATGTGAGAATGTGAGATACTCTTTCTATAATCACAATATATATAGCCTCAGAAACCTGACCACTGATGGAAAGGTAATTGTCACCAGCCAAAATACGTATAGTAAAATGTATTCAATATACCTACAGACAAGAACGTACTCGCTAATATTATAGTCAGCTGACGATATGACATATTGAGACTCTTGAACAGTTGGATTCGTTGTCCTGAAACACAATCAAATCCGAGACGAAAAGTCAAAACGGCTATTTCCCTAAGACAATGACTCCTTGAGTAGCTTCCAAAGAGTGAAACATTGAGGGATGAAAACCTACGATTAGTAACGATAATTCACAAACGTTATCTTTGTATCTTCAGATTCATACCCTTGAAATACTCCAACTTATTGCGTTGATCACACTCTTGAAACATCCCACTTGATCAATCTTGAAAAGATTGAATTCCATTACTGGTATCAAGATATGGAACCATGAAAAAATTTGTCTTAACTCACAATTCTTCATTTAATCCCCAAGATGCTTTTTGATACCGATCTTCAAAAACTATATTCTGTGAACTACGTGACTCGATCAGAATGATGAGTGTACCCTGACTTGAACATTATGTCAAACCTCTCTTTGAGAAATATAAAAGGGATTGATGCGATTATGTTATCTCTGAGGATTATTTTCAACAAACCTTGTTCTGACCTTAACAAGAAACGTATGTGCAATAACTTGTGAAGAAATGACGTCACAAGGACCAAGCTGAATCATTTAAGCGAAAACCTTGAATCTATGCGCGATAATTTGTTAAGAACTCGTAAGATTCCTTACTCTACGAATTCGTGAATTGAATTGCGTACTGAGGATATTCTCTTATTCCCTCGAGACGAGATCAACCATAGTATTACGGTCGAACCTGTCGCTATCATGAACATATATTGGTATGTTTCCAAATTGATGGAAGAAATTTGAATACACCCAGTCTCGGGCCACGACGACGGACAATAAGACACGGACAGTGACCATATATCTTGGCAACGGGAGCAAAAGTATCAGTGTAATCAGTGCCCCATTTTTTATTATTACCCATGACCACGAGTCGGGCTTTGTCCCGTTTCTTGGTGCCATTCGATTTGTACTTCGTCCTATATACCCATTGACACCCCAAGGCTGATTTGTTGGCAGGAAGATTAGTGATTCCCATGTCTGGTTTGTAAAGGATAAATGAAGAAGTTTGTTTATGATATGAACTTTGAAATGATTTATTGAAATAAATCATGAGAACAAATAATATGAATGAAATGTAAGAACCTTTTTTGAGTAAAGGTCAAATAAATCAATTTTGACTCTGTCAAAGTCAATCACCCAAAAATATGATGTCGGAAAAAGTATTACAGATAAATATAAAAGTTATATCGTTGGATAGAGTTTAACTGTCTGATCGCAAATGTGCAAACGGATTTCAATTCGGAGAAAGTTGGACCAAAAAGTGTTCCTCGACTGGGACCAATTTAGTCCCAATCAAGGACTTGCGTTTGGAATGGGAGAAATATAGCAGCCCGCTCCACTGAGACGCCAAAACAGGAACTGCATACATCACCATTTGCTTCTTCTCCATTCCTTCCCTATATAAAGACCACCTTCATCCTTTCAATTCTCCACCATTTCACACAATCTTTATATCTATTTTGTTGCTCGGAGTGAGGAGAACGCAGTGGTGCTGTCATATTGGTGTGAGGTCGCCGGAGACAGCCACAATCCTTGCCGAAAGTTTCACCGGAAAATTTCCAAAACCTTCATTTACCTTCGAGGTAAGCCCGTAGACATATCTAGTGACAAGAATGTTCATATAGATCGTTTCTACGTTCATAAACGGTCGTTTGATTGAGTTTTGTGTTGACATGCTTGAAGAACCAAGAATCATAAACCATGAAATTGATGTTAAAACTATGAATTAATGATGCCAAAATGATCTATGAACCTTGGAGAACATCTCTATATAGTTTCGTTGAAGTTCGATAACTAAAAACGATATTTCCGAAATTGGACCCGAACGAAGAAGAAGATGAAAAGTGGCTGAAACGCCACTGTCTGGATCGATCCAAGGGCTTGGATCGATCCCCTGGGAGTGATTTTTCATAGTATGGATCGATCCATAGGGCTAGATCGATCCCTCGAATTTCAGATCCGAAAATTTGTGTGAAAATGTTATTTTTGAGCTCTAAAATCCTATTTTTGATACCAATTGATTATGATCATTATAAAAATGATTTTTCACATTAAAAGTAATATTTTTAAACAAATAAAATGTTATGTGATGCATGACGGTAAGTTAGGGTGTTAACACCCGAAGCTAGGCCGCTAATTTTTATTGAATATTATGTTGATTGATGATTATGATAATGATTATTGATTGATGAATATGATGACTAAATCTTAATAAATATTCTGATTAAAAATGATAATTGTGAATGATTAAATCATAATGAATATATGGATTATTGTGAAAATAATATATTGTTAAGGGTATCTAGAAGACCTCTAAGATATACTCATATTAATGTTGATTTGAAAGGTATCTAGCTAGAAAACCTCTAAGATATACCTATTTAAGTTAGGCCTTGCGGGTATGAACCCCGGTGGCTAGGGTTAAAGTGTACGTACGGGATCCAAGAACCAAACTTGAGTACCTACTCGTTTCGGGGTACCACCCACCCAACAGTGAACACTATGCTTTCGGTTTCTGGTTGGCCTTAAGTGAAGGTAAGTTTAAGATTTTCAAAACCCTTTTATCTTAAACTAGGCCTAGCTTAAGGACTATTTAGGAGTACTTTATACTAGAATATAGTTTAATTATTTAAACTAGAATTCATTTAAGGGTTGATAAACATTAAAGTGATTGGCCTTAGACTAAAAATAGTTTAAGAATATTGTCGAATGTTGAATATTGAATATGAATGAATATTGAATGATGATTATTGAATTGAATATTGTGAATATTATGAATGACCGATGACCATTGAATATGAATGAATATTGAATGATGATTATTGAATTGAATATTGTGAATATTATGAATAACCGATGAACGTCGAATATAAATATAAATGTTGAATAATGAATGATGAATATTGACTAATGATTATTGAATATCTGAACTGAACATTATGTCCATGATATCAAATGATTTGATTATGAATTTAGATTCAATTTATATGGATGTTCGACACATTAGATATCCTTACTCAGCTTAAACGCTGAGCATGTAGTATGTTTTATTTGCTACACGCAGGTAAACAAAAAGAATGAAGCAATGATTTCCTGGAGGCAGATGGGACGAGATGGTCGGGCGGATGTGTGTTTTGGATTTGGAATATTGTTTGAAAAGACATAAATTAATTATGTTGTATTATATTTTTATTAAGCTTCCGCAATATTAAATTACTCCGTTACTATTTTGAATTATTTATTATGAAATAATTGAATGTTTACGAATACCAAGTTTATACTTTAGTCCGAAAGGGGCTGCAGACCTAGACGGATTAGGGTGTTACATGGTTACATTCCAACGCCATGATTTCCTTTGCCATTGCCTCCCGCCAAGAAGCATGTTTCACGGCCTCCTTGAATGTCTTGGGCACAACATGGGCATCAATGGTTCCTACGAAGTGCTTGTAACTGTCACACAACCTTTTAGTAGAAAGAAAATTAGGAGTGGTGTTTAGACGGGAGGATGTGGACGGAAGTTTAAAGGGAAATTGAGGTTCATCGAATGAGATATCCCGAGTATGGAAAAACGATGGGTTTTGAGATCATACACTCTCCACCCTTTTGTACCTTGTGGGTACCCGACAAACATACACTTAACACTTTTTGGTGAAAATTTATTTGTTGGTTTAGAAACATGACGCCCAAAACACAGGCACCCAAAGACACGTAAATGACTTAAGTCAGGTATTTTATTTGTGAGAACCTGGATTGAAGATTTTCCCTCAAGGAGTTTAGTGGGAGTTCTGTTGATGAGATAGACAGCCGTTTTGATACATTCCCCCCAGAATTCTAAAGGAAGAGAGGCTTGGAACATAAGAGCTTGGGCAACATTTAAGATATGTATGTGTTTTCGTTCGACCCGGCTATTTTGTTGCAGAGTACCTACACAAGAAGTTCGAATGCAAACACCCAAAGAGTTGTAATATGAACAAAGAGGCTGATTCAAGGATTCGGTCCCATTATCAGACCGAACTACTTTAATGGTTTTGTGGTATTGTGTTTGGATCATGAGAAAGAAAGTTTTAAGAAAATAAGTAACCTCCCTTTTATCTTTAATGAGGTATACCCAAATCGCACGTGAGTGGTCATGAACAATAGTAAGAAAATAATGCGCACCCAAAGACAAACAAGGAGAATATGGTCCCCACAAATCGCAATGAATTAAGTCAAAAATTGCATCAGCTTTATTATGACTAATTGGAAACGATAAATGAGTTTGTTTAGACAAGAAACAAATTTCACAACTTTGATGTTTTTGAACTACATGACTACTTTTATTAAAAAAGGAAAGAACATGAGTAGACAAATGATCCAGACGCTGATGAAGAAGTAGGGGATCGACCATTGTGGTGTGGGCGGGAACCTGATGCCGAAAAAGAAAGACTCTCTTTCGCAGTTCACCCCGTCCAATCTCAGTCTGCGACAAAGGGTCCTGTATTTCACAATTTTGATCAGTAAAAAGTATGTGACAAGTATTATTTTGAAGAAGTTTCCCAACAGAGATTAAATGAAAATTTAGAGTAGGCACATAATAAAGTACTTCAGTTAACAAAAGAGTAGGAGAAAGTTGCACTTTCCCATGTTTAGTAGCTTCAATGCTAGAACAATCAGGGAGGTTGATTCTATAGGATGGTATGGGTTTGACGGTAAACATTTGTGTCAAATCACCTGTCATATGGTGAGAAGCCCCACTATCGATCAACCAATCATGAGAATTAAGTTTTATACCATTATATTGTGCAGCATTGGATGATTCTAGCAGAGACACCAGACGTGCCATTTCATCGCTGAGGTTGGTTCCCTGTGCTTCGTCGGTTGCCATGTGTGCCATGCCGGTGCCACCATCGGCGGCTTCCATCTGGTTGCTACGTCCAGTCCCGCGGCCACCAGCTGTATGTCCACAACCGCTGTTGTCTGTGCATCCTCCTCTAGCCGCAGGTCCACGAGTGGCGGCGAGTTGAGTGTAATGGGCCGGAAAACCAACAATTTCATAACACGCATCAACGTTGTGGTTTGTGCGGCAACAGTGTGTGCACCTTAGCTTCTCCAGGGGTGGAGAAGGACGTGCAGGTTTGTCATCGCGGCATGTGGCGAATGCCATTGCCTCAGTTTTGTCATCACGGCTCCAAATGATTGTGCGATGACGTTCTTCTTGTGAGACAAGAGAAAACGCCCTATCAAAATCAGGAATTGGTTCCGTACCAAGAAGGTTAGAATGTAGATGACCAAATTGCTCATCATCCAATCCTAACATGAAATCAATTGTCTTTTCACGTTCAAACTTCGCTCTTGTTGTAGCGGCGGCCGCACAGGTACACCCTCTAGTTGGATCTCCAGTTCCATGCAGTTGATTCCAAAGAGTAATAAATTGATTATAGTAAGCCACTATGGTTTGTCCCTTTTGCCATAGTGCATTCAACTCTATTTTCAATTGATAAATACGAGGACCATTGGACATACTATACCTCTTTTTCAGATAGGACCAAAGGTTCGAGGCAACGGAATGAGATACGATGCTAGGCTGAATGAACTCATCTACGCTATTGAAAATCCAACTGCAGATGATGGAATTGTTGGATTCCTAAGCTTCCAATTCACGTTGATCTTTAGGTTTAGGAACCCCCTCGGGCACCAAGAAAATCACTTGCCCATGACCTCCCAGTGCGTTGTGAATTGCCTTTTGCCAACTCTCATAATTATCGCTCTTGAGCAAATATTTGATTAAGGCGTTACCCGCATGTTCTGATGGATAAAGATAATAAATTGTTTACAGATTGTGGATCAACCACGTTTTCTTGGTGGTTTCACCAGCCATACCGGAAGGACGGATGTTGCTGAGATTGAATCAAAGGCTGGTATAGATCTTCTAGGTTAGTACGAACGAATAAAGCTGCAATGCTGCTAGGAGGGACAAATCTGCTGGAGGAGTATATCTGCTGGACAAGACAGACGAATCTGCGGGAGGAGATAGACGGATCTACTCGGCGAAAGGAGGAAACTTCCGACGGAGGACACAGACAAATCTAATGTTCTGACTAAGGGAACCTCTGGCGATGACCGGTCACGCTGGCGATGCTGGACGGGTGGATCTGCTAGACGGACGGAATTTCTAGTGATGACCGGACGTGCTCGCGGCGTTGGACGGACAACGCCAGATGTGCTGGTGATGCCGGATATGCTGGCGATGCAGAGGAAAACAGACGAAAGAGGGAGGGAGGGACGATGCTTGTAGAGGAAGAAGGATGGACGTCTGTGACTTAACATGTTTGCAACGACGATGGTAGGATTCTCCTAGGAAATTGCTCTGATACCATGTAGAATTTTAAAACTGAATGCTTGAGTTTATTGATAGTTTCTACCCCTATAAATACAACCAAGAGTTTCCTAATCATACGAGGAAACACATAAGGAAACAAACTTCTACAAGGAAACAAAATAAAACAAAAATATTCACAAATAAATGCTAATATATATTCTATATTCCAATACCTACTATTGACAAACTATCCTACACTTGGGCTTATGACTCTGGCCCGGGCTCACCTTGTACGAGCAATGGCGACGAACGAACCCTTGAGCGTGGGATCCATAGTTAGAAGGGTGGTCGATACAAAGCATCATCCCTGCACCAGGAAATGAGGAGCAAGCATACAAACACAATAGTCGAAGGGGGGTGTCACACCAACTATCCACCCTAATCACCCACGTAACTCCCGTGTAGCCATGTCCACACGAAATGGCGATAAACCGTTGTTCATGGCGGGAAGTCGACATTTCCCCAATAAATATCTATGGAGGATCTCATTGAAGGGGATTGGTAGTATTTGACATAGCCTTATGCTATCTCCTTAGCTTGTACTCTCTTACTAAAATATTAATACCAATTATGCTAGAGGTGTTTTCACCCACTCATATTCTTTTTTTGGTAGTTCATTTCTAGACCCAAAACACCATTTAAAAACCATGTCTACCAGTCACGTACCAAAGTAATTCCACCACAGTGTCTGCCCGTGCTGAAGGCTAGAACACCATTATTGGAACCACACCAACCACCTAGGTGACCCAAGCTCAGGCTCAAGCCATCTCGCCTCTAGGAATGGGCCATGTCATGATCACATCCACACCGATTCAAACATGCAACTATGCCGGTGTACCCAATGATGGGACCCTTAACTGATCCACAAGTAACATTCTCGCCGAACATGGCCTAATTCACTACAAATCCATCAAACACTCGGACAGTAAAGAATTTTACTAGGTCATGGCCATGTTCCATCAATATTGAATGTTCTCGCCCTATATATATGTTCCCTTATGCTTTACCTAGCACGAGGCAAATGTTGTTACACATTCCCATGCCCTAGCTGTAACACCCGCCTTCCGTGGACCCGGTTCACCGCGATTCAACGGACCGGTAGGGTTACATGGGCGGTCCGAGAACCGTCCGTAGAGGAAAATGCATTAATGACTATTTATTATGAAAACGGTTGTGTTTTAATTAGTGAAATAAATTCTAGGGAGTTAACCCCATAACGTGTGTGATATAAATGCAGAGTGAAAGCGGAAGTAAATAAATGAGTAAAACGACAAATGGTGGGTTCATGCCCAAATGATTAATTAATTAAATGTATTTAATTATTGAATTTGTCCATGCGCCGCCCATATTCCCACCATCACTGTCCTCTAGGGTTAGCACCTGCACCGTCATGTCTACCTGCGTGTAGCAAAACAACTACACGCTTAGCAAAAGCTGAGGAGTGAATCTAACAAAAGAACATGAAGTGATAACCCATATGGTTATACACATATAAATACCTATACTTAACGTACGGAAAACCACATGTTTGCTAACTGATTAATTTGCACTTGATGGGATATTGTTACACATAACAAAATGAATAACAACCACATTGAATGTTGACGTGACATGAAACATACATGATGACAATATGACTTGATGCATGACTTAAGTTATTAGGGACACCCCTGACTTAGTCTCACTTGACAGGATCACCCCTGCACTCCGGTAATGACCCGGGCTCGACAAAACGTCGCAAGTGAACTAGCAAAACTGGGTGGTAGCCGTAGCCTGACTACCATGTACGTACACAAAGCCCACCTGATGAAAACCCGTTGGATCCCAAAGGTTCCTGGACGGGCCCACTGTAGTAGGCGCACGAAA